AAAATCAAAGGATATTGTTTGGTTCACAGCTCCAAAATAAACTCATCATCAACAGGTTCGTTGTAACTTTTCATTATTTCATTTTAGTACAGTTGCGTAAAGTGGGCCTCAGAAATGTCAGGACTGCATGCCAACCATTCGATATTGGTGATTTTAGCGGATTTTTTTTAGAAAATTCGTGGCGGTAGTTCCGAGCTTTTTAAATACTTGGGTATTTTGAAAGACTAATTTTAGTTTGTTTTTCTGCTGTGCAGGTGATAGCTGTTTTGATCAGTGTTACTTCGCTTGTTGAGCAACTTGCTGGCAACCTAGGCATTCGTTTCGTTCCCTGAAGGGATTACCAGCTGTTTAATTATCCGACAGAAGTGCTTGGCAAAATTTTAACGGTTTTTGAAATGTCTTTCGTTTGTGTTGAACATCAATACCAGTTTGGAGCGGTGAATGCCCTACTCACTCTTGGCGGGGGGGGGGAGGATTTTGGGAAATAATTTTATATATTTATTGAAATAATTTTTCAGATAGTTGTCCAGTGGTTCATGTTGATCAAATAGTACTCGAGATTGCTAAGGACCCGTTGGGAACGATGGTGCAGGTGCATTTTTCCTCCATTTTAAAGAAGAATTGTGAAAAACGAGAAATTGCATACAACATTCAACGTTTTATTTTCAGGTCGGCGTGGGTACTGCATCGGTACAGCTCAAACCGTCCCAGGATTTCCCGGCATCTACAGGCGGTTTGCTGGTACTCGAAACGTTTTCCTTTCGTGGTCAGGCACTTTTTTCTGATCTGGATGTACCGTGGGATGCAGCAACACTGGAGTATGGATGGCTTATGGAAATTGCTATTGGACAGTTACTCGGAAAGCTTCATCCAACACAGGTATGGTATACTTGTTCTGCTTAAGAAGCGCTAGGAATCATTGATAAATACTATTCTGTTGGGTTTAGATGGTTTTCGATGAATTTACATGCCCAGAATACTGGAACAACAGTTTGATTCGTCATGTAACACAAGCCAGACTGTTGTTCCAGATAACGTAAATCAAGCGAAAAGCCTTTTTAAAATCCAACGAAATAGTGCTGCAGTCACTTCC